ATGTGGTTCAGATCGGCGATGTTAATGGTGGTTTAGATCGACGGTGCTTCAGATCGGTAGTAGTTGGCGGTGGTTCAGATCGATGGTGGTCTGTGGTGGTTCAGATGGCAATGGTCGACAGTGGTTCAGATCGGTGGTGGTCCATGGTGGTTTAGATGGCAGTTATCGGCAGTGGTTTAGATCGACGGTGAATCAGATCAGTGGTGGCTCAGATTAGCGATCGATAAGATTGGTGGTAGTCGATGGTGGTGGTCGGCGGTGGTACAGATCGGTGGTAGTCGGTGGTGGTGGTCGACGGCGGTTCAGATTGATGGTAGTCAGCGGTGGTCGACGTTGGTTCAGATCGGTGGTAGTCGGTGGTGGTGGTCAGCGGTGGTTCAAATCGGTGGTGGTTATCGGCGGTGGTTCAGATTGACGGTGAATCAGATCAGTGGTGGCTCAAATCGGCGGTGGTTCAGACCGGTGGTAGTGGTCGGCGGTGGTTCAGATCGGTGGTAGTCGGTGGTGGTTCAGATCGATGGTAGTCGGTGGTGGTGGTTCAGATCAATAGTGGTCGAGAGGTGGTCGACGATGGTCATATTGAGTTTTATGAGATTAGAGTATATTAGGTTAAGGGCATAATTGGTACAATGAAGATAGAGATTCCATTCCATCAAAATATCATCTAGTTGTTAAGGAATGTTAAATTCCTTTATTTGTGGAATTTGTAGGATTTTGAAAATTCCTTTGGTGAAAAAGAATGAACCAAACAAGGGAATGAAATTTGGTCAATGGAATTCAACATTCCAATTCCATCAGATTCCTCCAGAATCTGCGAACCAAATGCCACCTAAGAAGCTTTGCATTATCCAGACCAAGCTTTAGATTCCAAATCATGAAAGCATTTGCAATACGACTCTCAAGAAGCAGACATCAAGAACATAGTTCATGTTGTATATAAAGCTAACGTTGCAAAAGCAGGCAACATGCAAACCTATAAAAAGTTTTAAGATTTAGTTGGTCCTTTGTCAAACTCTAGCTATATAAGAATCTTATTGTTGTAGCCAAAGTCGAGGCATCATCTGTGATCGTCAATGCTCAAATGCATGCAATATCATCGAAATGATTTGTCATAAATTCTTTTAGTATGTTGGTGCCTAAAGAAAATGACTGTGTGGGGGAAGGTCAGTGCACTATGCGACTCCATCAGTTGATGGTGTTGGAAGCAGGAATGTCATGATTCTGATCAGTAGGGCTAACGGTTTCACATCTATAGTTCTGATGTACACTTATTTTGTATCAAGATATGCTACCCAAGTGCCTTGGTAGATGCGTAATCGACATTTACAGGATTGCCAAGAAACCTTTATTTGATTAAAAATCCCGTGAGTCTCTTTTATTATGTATTATTTTTTGAACTCTTGCTACATAGAAATGGCATACACGTTCATAGAGAACCTACAAAGTTCTTGGATCTAAAGCTTTTCATTAAGAAAGTGGAGATACCTATACAAGGGGAAGCTCCTTTATTTGTCAATTACCCAAAACATCATCCTAGAAGGTCTTCCAAGCAAATGAAGTCATTTCCCTCACAAATCCTTTGATTTCTTCTTTTTCGTCTTTAGCGACTAGCTACCTTAGCATGCTCAAGAATATATATAAGTGGTAGGCTATTTTTCACACCCTTAGACTTATAAAAGTAACCACAAAGCAAGTATACAATATGGTCCCAATGTTGTCTTTTCCATGTAATAAAGTGGTAAAAACCGAATATCGTCTACGGAGATTGTAGCAAAGACTTAATAAGAGTCCAATGAAAGAGATGATTTCAGATGATGAAACTGAAGACTTCAGTTTGTTATTGAGTTAACAATGATAAAATAACAGAATATTAAAGGGTAGCATGGGTGTAAGACTTGCGGTGAAATGTAAACACAAATTCCAACAGACAATGCTGTAGGAATGCTACAGCATGCAGTAAGCCATAACTAGTTCCACCATCTATTTTGAAGGTATTCCTCTCGGACTTCACCATTGCACTATATTATAGCTTTCAACCCATATCTCTATGTGGTATCCGGACCAGGGATAGTGACAAAATGGTGTCTTCAAAATATATGGATAAACAAATCTCTTTGTTAAAAATCACTCTCTCGAGCCGATTTCCATATCATTCAAGTTGGCGTGTGTTCTAGATAGTTCATCTCTGAATCTACCGCACTTTGACACTTTTTGAGAGTGACCAACCTGTCGGGAGTTAATTTGAAAGACATAAATGACAAGTCTCCTTGTCGGTAACTTTCTCAAGTCTACCTCTTATATCATTCAAGTTGACGTGCATTCAATGACTTATCTCTAAGACCATGACACTTTTAACACTTTCAAAGTGATCAACTCGTCAAGAAGTGTACTTGGTTTTTATAAAAACTTGAACGAAATAGTAGAACATTGTTATTGAGAAACAAAGTCCACTTTCCTTTGGTTTAACATTTCACCCATTGTCTTACACCCAAGCTAATGGAATCAGCTACTCATTACGTAAATTAAATGACAAGTAATATAAAGAACAGAAAGTGAAGACATGAATGTAAATGACTGAATGTAAAGAGAGGAAATTAAGTTATAGGAAAAGTAAATAAAGTAAAGACAATGCTGCAGCAACTCATAATGAAGAACACTATTTAAAGAAAATTAAAAACTAACTAGCATAAACATAAGAACTTCATATTTGATTCTTCAGTGTTTTTGGGATGATATTCAAGAGCAACCAAGGGTCCTGTTTATACAAAAGATCCCAACAAAATGACAAAAGCCTTGGAAAAATCAAGGTTCCCAAAAGAGAGACAAAAGGTGAAAAGAGAAAAAGGTAGCATCACATCAAAACTAAAAGTAACCTCCAAAAACCTTCATCCCAGCTGTAGAGGTCTTTATCCACCGGATTAACAAAAATTTGTCTTAGGGGCTGTTCGGTTGAGGCTTAATGGACTGTATAAGCCATATGGCTCATTCGCACAACCATATCTAGTTGTTCGGTATGGGCTTATTCGGTCAGCCCATGGCTGAACCACTCAACTACAAAACATATCTCCTTTGTATTCAACTTTTAATTTCCTCAACTACCCCTCTCCCAACCCCTCTCCATAGTCACTCCTCCCTCAATACATCACATCCTTCTCCTCATCTGCTCCAACCATGGATCTGTCGACATCACTTCCCGTTCCACTCCCCAACTGTGAATGATCCGCCTTCTTCATCGATCGATCGATTGATTTGCTTCGTTCCACGTAGGGTTTTCTCCTCCGACGAGACACGGAAGATGAATTTTTCGTTCCAAGTAGGGTTTTCGCCTGCTTCGTTCCAGGTAGGGTTTTCGCCGCCTTCATCGATCGATCGATTGATTGATCTGCTTGGCTGTGGGATGCACCCATGCGATTGCGTAGGTGTGCATACGACGCATCTTAGTAGAAGGGGGAATTTTCAGACCTTGCGCTGAGATCAAGTCGATCTCTAGAATCCTCGTCTGCGCCGTATGTTGATCTCTAGAATCAAGTCGATCAAGTGATCTCTAGAATCCTCGTCTTAGCAGAAGGGGATGTTGATTACACTGATTTGAAGGTAAAATCGAGATCAACGGAGGAAATATATTGACTATTTGTGATTATAAATCATATTGACTATTTGTGATTATAAATCATATTGACTATTTGTGATTATAAATCATTTTGACTATTTGTGATTATAAATCATATTGACTATTTGTGATTATAAATCATTTTGACTATTTGTGATTATAAATCATATTGACTATTTGTGATTATAAATCATTTTTCAACATTTTTGTAAAACTGTTGTTTTATTCGGACAAAAATAAAGACAGGGTAAAATGGTCATTTCTGACATTCAGACTGTTCATTCAGCACAACAACCGAACAACTTATCTGTTAACTTACAGACAACTATATTCATACAGGTCCTAACAGAAAACGAACCGAACAGCCCCTTACTCCTTAATCGGCAGCTGAATCCTTAAGCTTTTCCCAAAAAAGCCGCTTTATGACAGTTCAATGATGTTGGAATGCTGCAGTAGAGAATATTATGCTTTCAAGTTAAGATTTCTTATACTCTAATGGTGCAAAGACAAGTTAATCACTTAATCTAGCTCCAAGTATAAACAAATGGAAAATAATGTAATAAAAAGGACTCAAGGTTGAGATAAAAGAATATAAACTACCTAATAAGTAAAGAAATGGATGTTTTATGCATTGAATAATCAATACATATCAATAAGTATATGTATATGTATGTATATACTTTGTTAGTGACACAGTCTGGAAGTCATGAGAATTACGAGCATAGTTCACGCAAATACCCACCTGAACTTTGCTCAAGAAATGAAAGTAAGATGAGAAAATTGCTTCTAACTTGATTGATCAAAATTTAAAATCAAAGAGGGATCACCATTCAGTCGAACTTCAAATGTTTGTCAACGAGACTTCCGGTTCTGAAAGATCAGTGACAAATCAACATTTGTTTGTCTTGTTGTGTTACCATTATGAAGCAATACACTACCTAAGGGGCCTTTCAAAGGGATGTCTAGCTCTAAATATGTGAAACTGAAATTTTGATTGTCTGGAAGACATGAAATAATTGAACGTTTTTTTTATCTTTCCTTTGGTATGTCTTTTTAATTTAATAGGTATTAGACAAGGAAAATAACCGCAATTTAGGTATGGAGCAACGAATACATTAAAATGATAAAAAAAGCCACAATTTGATCTAGCTTTCGGTGATTTACTTCTCCAATTCGCTAGTTCGATCAGATGATTATCAGTTTATCGTAACCTGAAGTAACTAGCAATAGCCGTTGGTAGAGCATGAAATCCTTTATCTCCATAAATATGTTGGAACACTCATTTTAAATATATAGCAGCAGACCAGCATAAATAGTTAGTTATACTTTTGCGACTTCGGTAACACCCCAATGGGCTTTTTTGGTTTTTTGCTGTTGTATTTGCGATACCCCGCTGGCTTGGGGAACTACGAACTACTATTTTAGCCTATCTGGCCTACCTAGCTTGTTACTCTCGAAAAAGAAAATTTTACCTTATTAATGTCGGATATCCATTTTTGTCTGTGACAGTATCAGTGTTTATTTCTGTTTCTGATGATCTATATTTAAAAAATTATTGTATGCCTTCGATTTACTGATTCACAGTTAATGGACTGCACTTGGCACCCCATTTTTGGGATTCTTTTAGCCATATGTTTCTGTGGTGTGAAGGAAAAATATCTGTTCGTCGATTTGCATAAAATTATTGTTGCTGTTGGTCGTAAATTTTATCTTGTGATCAATGGAACCTTGTAAACTGTGCAGGACATCAAACAAAGACATTTTCTGAAGCTGTAGATCAATATGCCCAAATGGGCCTACGGACTTTGTGCTTGGCTTGGCGTGAATTAAATGAGATCGAGTATCAAGATTGGTCTTTGATGTTTAAAGAGGCAAATAGCACATTAGTTGACAGAGAGGTATAAGAAACATTCCTTTTCTCTTTATATATACATATACATAGCCCGGGTCAAATCAGAACCACAAATCATTGTAGAACCAGGGAACTAATTTTTTAGTGTATATCTGTTGTTGAATATACTCATCGACAGAAGACATATACATGTGAATATATTCTTCAATGAATCTATAGTGTACATATTTTGATGAAATTTATATAATGTATATCTATCAATGAATACCCACTACAGAATTATTTCCGTGGTTCTTGAATTATTTGCAGTTCTCACATGAACCCTACACTACACACACACACACACATATATATATATATATATATCTATACTATCTTATTAAACAAATTTAGCAAAAGTCTTAAAGTCTTGAAATTCTAAATGACCAAAATACCCTTTTATACTCACTTTTTCACCCTCTCCTCTCCTCACATACACTCACTTCCTCATATACACTCACCCTTTCACAACCGATTTTTTTTAAATTATAATTTTAAAATTTACACTTTATACTCCTATAATTAATTAATTAATTAATTTACTTTACGTCCTATACTTTTAAATGCTTCATTTTAAACCTTTATCAAATTAACATACATAATCGTATATCAATTAAAACATGTTTAAAAAATACATTTTTATTTTAACAAGTTACACCATTATAATCGTCTCGTTAATACCTTCGAAATGAGTCCAATATTGAATAGTTTTTGACTTAATTATATTATTATGTATTATATATACTGTGAAAAAATATTTTTAATATTTAGGATTTATACTTTTATAGTTATTTATTTAACTATATACTATATATTTTAGGGTTAGGCTGTCCAAATTGCACTGTATAATATGTTTTGAATTAATATGTTCTTGGGCTTTTTTGAAATATATATATATATATATACATGTATTAATTCAACTTTAATCTGAGTTTCTGGACAAGAAAGAGGGTAAGCAGTTGAAATTTCATTCTAAAACCCATCTTTTTTTGTCTTTTCATGGCTTATGATCCGTCAAATTTGTAGTTTTCTTTATTGGTTTTGAGTGTTTATCTTAAAACTCAAGTTTCTTGCTTCTTTGTTTTTGGTGTAAATCGAATACATTTGTGGAGTCGTTTAAATATGTTGGAATTTAAATATATTGGATTTTAAACTGTCATAAATTTTTTTCCATCAGTAGTCTGTAATTGGAACAATAAATCTTATTTATTCAAATTGTATTAATATGTAAAGACCAAGTGTAACCTATATCATCGTTAAATCTTATCTTATAAAACCAGTGGAACTTCAAAATCGTTAAAATTCATGGYTCCCGCCGCATTGCGCGGGTACACAACTAGTATATATATATATATATATATATATATAATAGCTTGGTTTGGTCCTTGACCTTGTAACCCTTGCCAAAGTTGTCTTGCCTATGAATTCATTTTCCTTCATGACATCATTTGTTGGAATAAAAGATTCATGTGCTTGGATGTGGTTGTTTTGTGTATTTACTTTTATAGTGGAGAGTAGCTGAGGTTTGCCAAAGATTGGAACATGACCTTGAAATACTTGGTGTTGCTGCAATAGAAGACCGTTTACAGGTAAATCTATATTTTCAAACAAATTTAATTAGTTTGGTACATATACAGAACCTGCATCTACATATATTGCTGTCAGTTGTATATGGAGGCTCAGACCCAGTTCTATTTTGTATATTGCCCAGGATGGTGTGCCAGAGACAATTGAAACTCTCAGAAAAGCTGGGATAAATTTCTGGATGCTGACTGGAGACAAGCAGAATACTGCCATACAGATTGCTCTGTCATGCAATTTTGTTTCCCCAGGTAGGTCATTAATAAAAAAGTATGATGAAACATTGATCAACATCAGTTTCTGTACACTAGACCTAAAAACAAGTCAACTAAACTCTGTTGATTTATAGTTGCAAGTGGCATCTGCACACTATATTTCACAGCCGTGATTAGTGTGGGATCTCTTACAGATTCATGCTGTTCCTGTAATCTGGATGATATTATTCTATTATTATGTTTTAGTCGTATTCTTTTCGATAACCTTTTCATCTTAATGTTGTTAAGTGTTCAATTTTCTCTTTATCATGCGTTAGAGGTTAGAGTTTTTAGGTTCACTTATTATTTTTTGTTTTACAAACATGGAGCAACAGTTTCTTGATTCGGTCCAACACTGATTTTTCTGTCCATCACACAATTTAACATCAAATTTTGGTAAAAGAACCAAATGTACAAATGTATAGGCACACATATGTTTATACATATACATATTCATGTACGTGCATATGTATGGGCACATTCATGTGCAATTGTGCACGTACATCACAAATGCATATACATATACATGTGTGTGGGGGTGTATATATCCACACACACATGCACACAATGACATTGTTGCACAATTTATATGAAATAATTCTCTCGGACTATTAGCAAATGGAGACTCGTGAGATTATCAATCCATTCTCGTCTTGAACACATGGTAATATGGTAAAGTACGAAGTATCGATCCATAAGAACAGGAAAATCTGAACTTTCTTAAATCAAACAAAAAGACAATTTTAGATGACGAAGTCAAAGATATATTTTTTAGTCATTAAGGGGCAAGGGTGTAAGGATTTGTTGAGACGTGAACATATAACCCAATGGTTAAATGCTACAGGATAGCATTTAGTTACTAAAATAATAACAGGATAAATGCAACCCTTACCTAAAGAGCACTCTTCCAAGATTAAGAGAGGCACAATATCCACAAACCATAGCTCAAGTCTTCTAGACTTGTGGTTTGGTCTTAGGTTCAAACTTTCCTCTTTAAGTACATAGACAAGCACTCTTCCGTTGTTTCTTAGTATCTCTTCTAAGATTGGGTTGTGGAGTAAGGCTTAGACCTAAGTCCATTACAATTTAAAACTTTTAGCGGGTGGCCAACTTGTCAAGAAGTATTGTATCATCTTTGTAAACTTGAATGAAAGGTTGGAAATGTTGTTATTGATAAGTACTACCACTTCCATAAAGTGTTTAGTATCAACATCTCCTTATGTTGAAGCTAAGGGTTTAGTCTATCATTGCTTGCATTTTAAACATAATGAAAACAAAATAAAATGCTAAAAATAAAATGCTAAAAATAAATGACTACGAGAATGTAAGAAGCTTTTAATGGAAAACTAAGATACTTCAAAAATTAAAGTGGACATGGTTGAATCTATAAAAGTAACTAAAACATATACGGAGAATTTAAATGCTAGAAATTTAAAGAAGACAATCTTTAGAATAAAATTGCACCAATTAAATACTTGATAATTAAGATTCATCAACAGAAAAGGGAAATTCTATGAAACTAAAAGTAGCAAAAGACTTAAGAATCAAGGAGTATATGTTGCTTGGTTCCAAAAACATTCTCCCAAATTCCTAAATGAATTCCCATTTGTCCTTCATATAGGAGAAGAATAAGGATACAGATTTAAGAGAGAAGTATTATCAAGGTACTTTAAATCTCTTGCCACCCAACTTCAAATATACCTTCAAATCTCCTAAAATAGCCGGATCTGGTCGGAGAAGATACCAAAAAGGCTATCAATCAAATCTTCAAATATCACAAATTTCCAAAAATCACCTCTTAGCTCCATGTTGCAACATTCTACATCAATATATCTATGAACAAGGAAATAACCACGAATCAATACACCAAGTAAAATAAATAGCTTTAATCCATCAGTTAGCTCCCAAAGTAATAAAGTCATAAATTCTATATAAAAAACTCTATATTTAGAAATCTGGGTAGTAAAATGAAGAGATTAAGGAAAGTAAAGGTGCTATTTCCTCAATGAAGTCAATCAAACATATATATATATATAAATGTAGATACACATACACACAACATGTACATGTAGATACGTACATACATATACCTATGCATATACATACACGTATTAAGTGCCTTGTTCCACGATGGTGATATGGTATTTGAGCATCAAAGCCACCAATGTCTCCAATTTTCATTGCTAGACTCTCAATCCTATGTTGCATCGGGTTGTATCATTACATTCTAGATATTGTACTCTAAAGCGTGGTCTTCATGTAGTATTGAAAATAAGGTATGCTTGAGAGTAGTTTATGACATAAGACTTCTTGTAGTCATCACAAACTTTGCATGTTGAGATATGATATGGAATATCTTGAATGTTGATCAATATGGTTATAATTTTTTAAACTTCTTGCTTGTATTTGAAAATTTGGTGATCTGTTTATAGATATACAGATTGCTTGCCGTATCTTACAATTTACATTATGGAAATGTAGAACCGAAAGGCCAACTTTTGTTGGTTAATGGGAAAACTGAGGATGATGTTTGCAGAAATCTGGAAAGAGTTCTACTTACCATGAGAATAACGAAATCAGAACCTAAGGTAACGACTTCTATTTATCATCAAACATATCTCGTTAATTTATTGATTGATGTTGGTTCTACACTTGTGGGGTTGCACAATTGAACTGGGGATATTACATTATTGCCAAATAGAAAATAAGAAGTGCTTACCTGAGCATAAATAATTTTGTTGTAGAACGGGATTACTAATGTTCAAATAAAAAAGTAAAGTAAATCACCTAATTATGAAGGCATAACAACCTTCATGAAGTGAAAGATGGTAAGGCATCATCATTTTCAAAAATAATCTTAAAGCCAATTAAAACCCAAATGGTCACCCATCATCCAGGTTCTTTAGCCTGTGCTGTATCTCCTTTTGCACTTAAGTCTTCATCACGTCGTATACCAAGAATGAATCATTTGCATTTCTGAAATACTTTAGGATATTCTTGACAACAATCAGTGACCATCACCTTATGCTTGTCATGCTTAAAGCATACTATATATCAGTTCGGGTACTTATCATGCCATACACCATAGATCCTGTTGCGGAACCATACAGGATCTTGCTCATATGCACATTTCCTTGAGGCGTAGTAGGAAACTTCGTCTTAAAAATTGATATGCCATAAAACATAGGAAAGAAACGTTTCTTGCTGTCAAACACACTGAACTACTTCAGCACTTCATTTATGTATGTACTTTGACTCAAGACAGGCAATCCCTACGATCTCTCTATAGATCTTGATGCCTAATACATAGGCTGCTTCACCCAAGTTCATTGAATCAAGGATAAATTAATTAAACACGTCTAAGATCATTGGCGAAAGTTGAATACTTAGTGATAAAGCAACAATACCTCAACTAATAGTAAACAATAATCAACTCCTTTCCTGTATAGAACACTCAAAAGAGCTCCACAAGCCAATGTATATTCAAAAATCAAGATGTCTCCTCCTAGTACAATTTAGAGTCCATTATATAGGGCTGGAAACTTAAAGCAACAGTTAAATCTTGAATGCTTAAAAGCTTAAAGAAAGATCAAAAGTTAGAAAACAATTATAAAAATATTAAAGAAGCATTAATGGAACTGCTTGTGATATAGACTCAGTAAACGAGTCAATCCAAAAGGTTCTTCATGGGATTCAACTTGTACTTATTCGGGCCAAAAAAGATTCTTACGTGAGAGCCGTGAAACCCTATGTTTTAGGGAGCTTTAAGGAGCTGCATCAGTAGTTCTATTTTCCTAGCCCGCTCAAATTCAAGGGGTAATTGCTTATCGGCTATCACTATCCACTTCGTGTAGTCATGATAGACAAGAAAGGGAGACTGAAAGCAAGCACTTTCCCTCATGCCTGGTAAGGTACTTCAAGGAAGAGGTGATGATATAGTCATCTTGTACTCGCTAGTTATTGGAAGCGTTGTTAGGAAGACTGTCCTCATTGCCTCGTAGTAGCAAAAGATTTCGTGCTACTGATGTCATTGAGGGTTCAAATATGAGAAAGTTAGAGAGGGAAGGTTATAGGCTAGCTAGGTTTTCTATTTCACTAGCTTTCCATAAGCTGGTAACTCCAAAATCGATGATTCTTTGCCATCGACTTACCAGGGAATTTTCCTAAAAAGCCTAATAGGAATTAACCACATTGGAAACAACGAATCAAAGCTTCGAGCTCATATTGGTTATGGGTTGACTCAATTTTTTATCATTCATAAAAGACAGATAAGGATCATAGCGATAAGGAACCTGAAATTATGTTCACACAATTTTCTTTAGAATCTAGGTGAACATGAAACATGAACCGGACATTTTTGCACTAAGATGTTCAAAAATAACTATGGCCCATAATTTCCACATATTTCCCGAAGTAGCTTAGGAACTTGGTGTCCTTGCCAGAAACTATGGTTTTAGGAACACCATAAAGGCATATAAGTTCTTTGAGGAACAAATCAGAAACGTGTATGGAATCGTTAGCCTTGTGATAGGGAACAAGTACGCCATTTTGGGGAAGCGATTCACCACAACCATGATAGCATCTTTTCCTAGTGGGTTTGTGGCAAGGCCACGATGAATCCATAGAAATGTCCTCCCATGTTTGGGAAGACATGGGTAATGGAGTGTACAAGCCTTGATGGAACTTGCTCTTGACTTGATGACACATTCCACTTCTCGTAATGAGGGCAGTAACGTCCTTTTCATGTATGCGCATTAGATAATAAGGGAATCAACTTCACCTTTCATGTGTGCCCAATATAAATGCTCTTGTAGAACACCAAGGGTCTTGTTGATGCCAAAGTGACCGGCTAATCCTCCTCGTCCATGGGCTTCTCTAACCCATAGCTCCCTTATGGTTCGTTTGGGAACACAAAGTTTTTTTAATAGAAACCCATCTTGAACGGAATAAGGGCCACAAGCTCGTTCTTTGCATTCTTGAATCACCAAGAAGTTTGGATCATCTAGGTACAAATTTTTGGTAAAAGAAAAACCTAGCACTCTTGCATCCAAGAATAGTGAGCATGGTATATCTCCTTGAGAGGGAATCAACAAGGTTGGAACTTCCAGCAAAAGTAAATGATTGGGTGATTCTACCCATTTTGCTTGTGTTGGATTGAGTTTGCTTTGGCCATTTGTATGTCTCAAAGCTTGATGGTCAGAATGTAGAATGTTAGCTATGAACCGTTCGTGTTCACACAGTGGGCACAAAGTCCCCACAGTGGTGATGCAAGTGTACCCCGACACTATGATCGCTTGCAAGTAATAGAGTGGTAAAGTATCGAGATCGTTTCCATAGAGATTGAACTACTGAGAATCGGAGACTTCCATGAACTTCTTGAGCATGTTTCGGTTTGTGAATAGAGGTTGGATTTTTGTTTATAAAAAGCTTAAAAAGACGAAATTAGCGAAATGAACTTATAGAATAAAAGATGGGCATGGGTGTAAGTATTCCTTAGGATAAAATCAACAATATAATGGTTAGATACTTATGAGATGTTTATAAAAATTCTAATCTCTCAAAAGTGAAGATTTATAAACAGTCCCCACAAAGTTCCCACAAAGTTCCCACAAGGTTCCCACTCTCACCACTCCGAAACTTGTTGATTTAGCTAAATAGAAGAAGAAATAGAATTTATACTCAAATCTCTTTGTAATATAAATCTACAATGCTTAATCCTTAGCTAAATACATACAAAATTCGTATTTCTACGTAATTATTAAAGACTCCCAAAAGTTCTTTGTGCATCATTTAAGCCGTATTTCGAATCCACCCATCTTTGGTCAAATATCTAATATTGACACTTCAAAGCGATCAGCTTATCCTCGTTGAATTTAAGTCCCGTGTTAAGTGACCAAGTTCACGAAATGGTAAAGAGTAAAAACACCCAATTATTGCTTAAAAATCCTAAGGTAAACTCACATCCACACCCATATGAGCAATTTGCTCATAATAGACATAAGAAACATAATGCAAGACAATAAATAAGACTGAAATGTAACTTTCATTAAATTAGAACTAAAGTCTGTTGCCAGAGTGGTGAGGCTGTGGGCAACAATTACAATTACAACTTCAATACAAGAAAATTAAATGCTAAACTTAACTTAAGAGAAGAAGAGAGACTTCAACTAGTAAAGCTTCAAAGGGATGATCTTCAAATTGAACCCAAGACCTCTTTATATAGCGGAGGAATGGATAAGGATGAGACACAAAATCCAAGGGAAATTAGGCTTGCACAAATCTTGTGGGCAAAGACCATCCAAAATCTTATTTTATTTATTTCACAACATATCTTTCCAAGGCAGTGCCGACTAGAGGAGATCTTTTATAAAGATTTTCAAGAAAACATTTGCAAAGTTGAAGCTTATCCAAAAATTCATAAACTTTCCACAGTGTTGACACTGTGGGCAGTTGCCAGAAAGTGCTGTATTTCGGAATAAAATTTCATCCTTCGTGTTTCATCATCTTTTTAGAATAAACGGGGAAAAACAAGGAAATTAATATATGCAAAAACGAAGGAAATAAATAAGAAATAACTTTAAAAAATGAGAGTTATCACACCCCCAAACTTGAGGTATTACTTGTCCTCAGTAAAGAAAATTAAACGAATAAGATAACAAAAAGGAACGAGAAAGCACAAAACTTACAGAGGGGCGTTGAAATCTCGTCAAGCTCAGATGATGTATGACTTTTTTCTTTTTTCTTTGAGGCGCAAAAATTAATCAGTAGGGCTTATCAGGTTAGTGTATTTGGCTAAAAGAATTCCCCCAAACTTGCCTAAAACAACAAAATGGTTTGAATGATTTCGCTTTATGGCACTTTTTTTGTTGTTTATTTGACATTTCTAGAGACCCACAATTTGATATTTCATAGTTGATCTTTGGGTTAAAACGTTTTGCTTTTTTTTTGTCTTCCAATTTTTGTAAGACAAATTATATATCTATTTTTTTCTAGCAACGATTTGGAGCACATACTCCCCCAAACTTAAACCGAACAACGTTTGCATTGGAGAACCGGGTTAAAGTGTTTGGCTGAGTAACGAGGGATAGTGTTTCGGCCAAAAAAAATGAAAGACGACCTACATCTTTTTAATTTTTGCAACCCAAAAGAATCCATCAAAGAAATCGTACCTTAAATTAAAGAACAAGCTAATGAAACCATAAAAATATCAACGCCAAAAATGTAAACAAAAGATCATAGTATCAACAACCTCGCTATCTGAAGATTCTGAACACAAAAGGCGAGGTTGGAAAAATGTAGCATATACCCAAAAGTTTCAAAAGTATGATGTGGAAACACCTAGGATGAAATTAATCCAATTTACCCTCTTCACCCCTTGACTGGCCAAAGATTACCCCGTAACATCGGAAGTGGAAGTCCGTCGAATTTTTGGAAGCCGAACTTGTGGTGGACAAAGACCTCCGGGGAAACATGGAACATCAGCAGCCATCATAACATTTTTGGCAAACAAAAACTTGTTCACCACCCTATTGCGGTCACGGTGTATGTCCAGAATTTTTTCGAACAAGTGGTCAATCTAGCAACTCTG